GCCTCAAGGTTCCAAGTTTCAAATTGTGAAAAAGATTTAGTCTGTTTCTCACACAAATCTATTGTTTGGCTTCAGGAGATATGGAATATTTTACACAAGCTTATGTGGACTTTATGAAACTTTTATGGTGCTAGCAGCCCCTGGTAACTGTCTGCCTTTGTTGCATGGAAAATAATAACTTGCATATTTACATATTCTTGTAATCATCATATTTTGTGCTCAAAGAAGAAGAAATTAAATCATGTGGGTTTGGAATTATAGGAAAGTGTGTAAATGATGACAGATGACCAAACTCTTTCACCTCATTAGCGCATAAGAGCAGCATGCCAGTCTCCCAATGTAAAGGATGTGAATTTGATCACACTGCTAAATAGAGATGTGAGAGTGTTAGCCTCACAGTGAGATGCCATACAGAATTTTCAGAAGGAAAAAATTAGATTATCTTCTTTCAACGAAAAGAGTGCAAGGGTTTACATTGTTTGGTATTTCCTCTGCCCACAGTGACCAATAAAGTTTACCAACCTGGAGATTCGTGTTCTACAACATAACTCACTGCTTAACTAAATTACGCTTTCCATTCTTGCTCATTCTGCAATAGCGTAATGGAACACCATGACTATCATGTTTGTAATCAGGGTTCACAGAGGTATGCGTTGACAGGTAGAAAAGTCAGTCTATCGTAGCCCTTGAACGAGGGATATGATTGGACGAATATTTGATGGATCTATGTCTTACCAAGGCGACCAGCTTAACACTAGTGGCCTATGACTATGTGAGCCTTGGCTACCACACTGACCGGCTTAACACTAGTGGCCTATGACTATGTGAGCCTGGGCTACCACGCTGACCGGCTTAACACTAGTGGCCTACGACTATGTGAGCCTGGGCTACCACACTGACCGGCTTAACACTAGTGGCCTATAACTATGTGAGCCTTGGCTACCACGCTGACCAGCTTAACACTAATGGTCTATGACTATGTGAGCCTTGGCTACCACGCCGGCCGGCTTAACACTAGTGGCCTATGACTACATGCGCCTTGGCTACCACGCCAACCGGCTTAACAATAGTGACTTATGGCTATGTGAGCCTTGGCTTCCACGCCGACCCGCTTAACAAGAGTGGCCTATGACTATGTGAGCCTGGGCTACCACGCTGACCGACTTAACAATAGTGGGCTATGACTATGTGAGCCTGGGCTACCACGCCGACTGGCTTAACTCTAATTAGACACGCACTATGTGTAATGTTTAATTGTTTAATTAACAAAATGGATATACGTTGCAATCTGATAGATAAGACCCCAGCACCCACCTGAGCAAATATCATAATTTAGTCATTTGATAACTGCTGTTACTTTCTCCACTTCATCAGTCCCAGCGGCAGCATATCAGTGTGTTAATTCATGTTTGTGCAATGATGAGACGGACAAAGTTAGCCGATGCATGCCATTTTACTCTCTCATGCAGATAAAAGTTGTCAAAGTTACAGTGCACAAAAACCCCTGGGTGGACTGACCTGAATGAACTGAAATAAAAGCAGAATATAAATGTTCTTTCTCTGTCTTCTGAATTATACAGCACAGTGAGAGCACACATCGCATGAGCACATTTCTCTGAAATACACTACCCATAATGCATTTCACTTGGAACTAACTGCTACAGCCGTAGATAGTGATCTTCAGCGTCTCTCGCAACACTGCCATTGATATGACTGCGATAAGCGCGTGCTTCTGATGCTGCGTGTAGCTGAAATCAACCACACACTCATCACAATAAAAACATCAACCTTAGAAATAACAAACATGAACACTGGGATAATCACCGATGTATATGGTGAACCACTGTTGAAATGCATACATAAGAATGCTTATTTCATTTAACCTGTTTCATGTCCGTTACTATCGGTGTGTCCTCAGAGCGATTACATATGCTCTAAACTGCGTTTTGTTCCGGCTGTATAAACACAGACGCTAAATGCTGCTGCTAATATGCTTAATATTTTCTCCTGCATACAATGCCAACTGCTAACATGACACTTAGTTTAAACTTGATTATGGTTACTCATTTTTTTATTCAATTAGGCAGACCAAGCAATACACACAGCGATATGGATTAGAAGTGCATTCACTTATCTTAGATGTTGAATTCGCTGTTCTGAAGCAAGCTGCACTGCTAGGGCAAGCTCTAGTAATATATTTGAATGTTGAGCAGCGAGCTCATTGGCTACCAATACAGGAGAGAACCAATCAGCTGTGCCATGTGATAATGATGTCAATAGTCAGGTTGAGTTAGACCTATTGGGCTGCGCCATCTAGAGTTTCATGCCAGAACTCTGTATTTAGTTTAAACTTGATTATGGTTACTCATTTTTTAATTGAATTAGGCAGACCACGCAATTACACGGCGACATGGATTAGAAGAGCATTCAGTTATCTTAGATGTTGATTTCGCTGTTCTGAAGCAAGCTGCAACTGCTACTGCAAGCACTAATCATATATTTGAATGTTGAGCAGCAAGCTCATTGGCTAACGATACAGGAGACAACCAATCAGCTGTGCCATGTGATAATGATGTCAATAGTCAGGTTGAGTTAGACCTATTGGGCTGCGCCATCTAGAGTTTCATGCCAGAACTCTGTATATACTACTGCAAGCACTAATCATATATTTGAATGTTGAGCAGCAAGCTCATTGGCTAACGATACAGGAGACAACCAATCAGCTGTGCCATGTGATAATGATGTCAATAGTCAGGTTGAGTTAGACCTATTGGGCTGCGCCATCTAGAGTTTCATGCCAGAACTCTGTATATAAATACATTTAGATCACTTAACTAAGTTATTGCTATCGGGATGTGAAGAGACTTTCATCCAGCATACGAAAAAATGTTTTTGAATCAAATCACTTGCCTTTTAATAGCATGATGCATCATTAGAGAAAGCAACTAACTAGGTACTGTACAACTGTTTCCCAAAGCCATAGTAACATGGCCACACCTCCATCGTTTGCATCATGTTAATTTAACAATATGGGACTTAACTGATTAAGTAATACATTTGAAATGTGAAACGTAAATAATGTCATATTATTATAATTAATTTTCCCAAACAACAGAAAGCAGCTCTTTTTTTTTACATGCAATGTGTAATTGGCATACACTTTACTCATATACATGTGGTTCATTAGCTTTCTCCAAAGCATAATTTCTGTAAGATGCTACTATAATGCACAACAAATTTAGTTTTACGTATGCATTTTACACACAAGCAATTTTCAGATGCACAGCTGATTTTTGACACTCAATCAAACAACCTGAACCAGCTAATGTTGAAGCAGGGTTGGAACTGAAGTCTGCAGGATGGTAGATCACCAGGAACGTGGTTAGAATGTACTGTATGAATGTACAAGAGCATGATCTATTTATTTTGATCTATAACACATCCCTGCTTGAAAACAAAGAACTGTACTGAAGGTACAAACACTGACTTGCAAATACTTGTCTTATCTTGTGCCTCATCATTGTAAAGTAGCTTTACATTTAGGTTCCTCAAATATTCTAAAGTTATAATCCCAAATGTTTGCACCTCTGCAATGAAATCAACCAGAAAATGAATTGCATGAATAACAATGACACCAGTTCTGTGACTGGTTCGAATTTATTGAGAACCAAGGGTCACACTTTATTTTAAGGTCCAATTCTCGCTATTAACAAACCCATTAACTATGACTTTTGCCTCAATAAACTCCTAATTTGCTGCTTATTAATAGTAAGGCCGTTTTTAAGTTTAGGTATTGGGTAGGATTAGGGATGTAGAATATGGCCATGCAGAATATTTGCTTTAGAAGTACTAATAAACATTAATAATAGGCATGCTGATAAGCAACTAGTTAATTGTGAGAATTGGTCCCTATACTAATGTGTTACCGAACCAAAGAAAACATAATCCTTCCTCACACTTTAAGAATCTTCTAGTGATCTTCTAGCAAATCTAATGTAGGATTGCGTTCTGCTTTTGAATTTACAAGAACTGGTCTGTAAGACAGCTGGAACAATACTGCATAGGCTCAAAGTGTGAAACAAAGTGTCATACTGCTGCATTATGAAGAATGATGCCCTTTAACCCCAGCAGTAAACCTGATTCCCTTGACAGTCTTTAGTGATGCCCTTCCCATGAACTCCTGATATGGCTCGAGTGGGACAGAACTATACACACATACACACACTGCTGGCCTGTGTGCCGCAAGCCATTGATTAAATATTTATACAGCTTTTATGAGACTCTGATGCTATCACTCCATCAGTAGGAAGAAAGAGAAGCTTCATTTATCACTTCCTGTCAAGACAAATGGAGGGATGTGTTGAGAGAAAGAGAGAAACGCTGGAAAAATGTTGTTGTTGTTGTTTAATTAAATGTATTTATTTTTGCAAAAAAGCAAGATTAATTTGCTTAAAGAGCTAAATTGATCAAGTTAAAAATCAAGACTTTTTTTCAGAGAATGTTTGTTTATAGAAAAATTTTGTTCAAGATAAAAATTAAAATGTTTAATTTGCTAATTTGCTCATTTTTATTGGCAGAAAAATGGGTCACATACTTTATTTTAAGGTCAAATTATCATTATTAACTAACTATCAACTACGACTTCTGCCTCAAGAAACTCCTAATGTGCTGCTTTCTAAATAGTTCGTAGGATAGTTGTTAAGTTTAGATATGTGGTAGGGATCTACAATATGGTCATGCAGAATAAGGCATTGATATGTGCATTACAAGTACTAATAAAGTGCCAATATTCTAGTAATATACATTACATGCTAGGTGATAGTGAGAATTGGTCCTTAAAATGAAGTGTTACCGAAAAATGAACTCATGATCTATTCTCGAATAAATAAATACATTATACATTTATATAATGATTTTACAGAGCCTAAGGAGAGTCCTTGGCACTGTAGTAAATCAGAGCTATACTATATTTATCTACTTTTATGTGTTTTATCACACAGGGTGATGAGGTCTTGACCGTCATAAAGATGAAGGCCCAATGGCCGGCCTGGCAGCCCCTTAACGTGTAAGTAACTTTCATGTAGTGTGTGTGCAGGTTTTATATCCTTTTCTCTGTTGAATAATATCTCATCAAAAAACAAGATCTCTCTCCCTTTTTTTTTTTTTTGTTGCTATATAGAGTACCTAAGCTCTTTACAAAGTTGAGTACTGCCTCTTTCTCCCCAGACAGTAACAACTGTGTTTCATGAAAAAAAAAAAAACAGTTAGAGGGTTCTGCTTTCTCTTAATTTAACATTTAAGTGTTGCTATATAGAGTACCTAAGCTCTTTACAAAGTTGAGTACTGCCTCTTTCTCCCCAGACAGTAACAACTGTGTTTCATGAAAAAAGTTCTGCTTTCTCTTAATTTAACATTTAAGTGATCTAAATTGATTAATGCTCCAAGAATCACTCAAGCACGAAGAATTTCAAATTTATAATGCTGTATTCACCTCATTGGGTATGTTTGGGTGCATTAGGACTTGAGAGTAGATAGGAAATTGCTTTTGAATTGACTCAGAGTGTCATGAAATGCTCAGTATGAGGCAAGAAGTGCTTGAAGTGCTTGAGACCAGAGCTATAAATGTCTTTCCTCACACTGCATAAAAAAAACAGATGTTATAATTTGACTACAACAGCAGTTAATGTCCAAAAATCCTAAATGGGATGCATGTTCTTTCTTTATTTCTCTCTCTCCTTTTGTTGTCCTCTCATCTTCTCCGCAGGTCTGTTGCTCAGTAGCTATATATTTAGAATAACAGCTAATGCGTACTCTGCTATTCGAACTTTCCAGAAACCTTAGCTTGAAAAGCTTGAGTTGAGTTTATTAGCAGTGCACTGACAGGCAGACAGTAAAATGATAGGTTGTCAATGAAAGCAAAGTCTCTAATTAGCTGCATGATTTGTTAAAGCATATATTTGTGTGTGTCTGTGTGTTGTGTCTCTTTTAAAGGGTGAAGTTTGATGATTTCATATTCCTTAAGGGGCATACGGCTTTATAACAGACTTTGCTTTCTTGTTAAGTAATAATGACACACATTTATGCTGACTTTTGCAGTTGCTATCATACAGCATATGTGTTTGCTTGTGACTGTCAGTTAAAATTATATATGTCAGACATGCAGCGCTATTTTAAGAGAACTGTTTGTTATTTCAAAGCCATTTGTGTATACATCATGCATAGTCTTATTAATTATGTGATTGATGGAAAAGAATGAGACTTTATGTCTATGAATAAAAAAAATGCAGATCATATAAACATATATACTATCATTAATTTTTTTAAGAAAGTTCCAATTAAATTATTCAAAAAGGCCCTAATAAATAGATTTAATATGAGCAGTAACTATGACATTTTTACAAAAAAGATTTTAAACACATTGTGTGTGTGTGTGTGTGTAGTGTATAAATATGTGTGGATAATTTTACAAAAGAAAAATAAATCTTAACAACCCCAATTTTTTAATGGTAGTGTGTATGCATATTAATAAGCATACATAAGCTTGCCTCTTGGCCTCTAAATTTTATAATTCCAAAATGAAAATTTTCCTCCATGGTAGCAAGTTAATGATATAGAAATAAGCAATGTGTTGAATCATTAACTCGTTTGCCACAATAAATGTCAGTTAATCTATCAACATATCAAATCATTTGATTACAAGTATTAATTGCTTGAAAGATACATTTGCTACATGTCTGTGTGTTTTGAGTTTCTGTTGTGACCTAGTTTTTGCCTGTCTTGTTGAGTTCATTGTTCCCACCTGGTGTGTCGTTAATTATGGGATAGTCCCTGGGTTCTTAAGTCCTGAGTTCTCCCCATTTCAGTTGCCAGTTATTGTCCATGCTACATGCCTGTTTGGATTATTCCTGAGTTGTTTCCTGTCTGTTTCCAAGTGGATTTATATTAAAGACTGTTCTTTGGGATTCCCTGCTCTCTGTGAGTCTTAACTACCAGAGATCGTAACAGAATAACTGTCCGAAACTGTTTTTTTTCTCTGGCATTTTTCTTTTTTGTTTTGTTTAATTTGTACTATATGGACCTTACCCCCATAAAACTTCTCTGCCTGGAGCAGGGAGATTGCCTGCTGGGAGCTCACGCCCTGGATTTTATTCAGCTCGCATGCCTTACTCACTATCCAGACTGCTCGCTCTGTGTTTTCTATTACACCAGCCTGAACGAGCGTTCAAAGGCACGCGTTCCAGCGGGCGGTCCTAAGGAGGATTTCGCCGCCTTTGTGGAGTGGGTGCTGGTACACAACAACTCTGCATTCACCATCGGCCCTGCGGAGGATGACTTCGCCATCATCCCCACTCCTCCACTGCCAGAGACCAGCCCGCCACCAGTGAAGGAGGTGTCACACGTGCCCACCGCAGACCAAGGAGGTCAGCTCGCCGCGATGGAAAAACTTGGACCGAGGACAAGATCGGAAGTTACCATCGTCCCAGAGCCTGCTTCTCTGCAAAGGTTGGAACAGGTGCGTGAGCCGGCTACACTGCTGAGCGCTGAGGGAGTGTTAGTGGAGCTCGGAGACATGGAGGATTGCCCCTCCCACACTCCCACCGCTATGAGTGAGTACGAACTGGCCTCTGGTGGATATTATGAGGGACTTAAGGACATTTTTGTAATGGACCTGATTGACTTTTTGGAGAGATGAACCCTAAGCCCCCTGTATCTCCAGTGATGTATGTATCTCCTGCGCTCCCTGTATCTCCAGTATCCCTTGAATTTCCACCCAGCCTGCCTCTCCCACCTCCTCAGTCAGCCAGTTACTCAGACCCAGTTCAGCTGCTGTCCTCCAGCCCCTCAGCAGCCCATATTAGTAATGATGTTCTGTTAAGTGTTTGCAGGCCAGCTGCTCCATCCATCCCTGTGGATCCCCTGTCTCCGCCTCCAGCCTCTGCACCCCGTCGACATTTCGGCTCCACCTTGGCTCCTCCCTCCCTCGGCTCCACCGGATACCATCGGCCATATGGCATCTCCGGGCTCCCTCGTCCCTCCGGCTCCGCCCTGGTCAGTCATTGGCCTGCCTGCACCTGTGGCTTCGGCTGGCTTCTCCTTCTCCCCCGGCTCCACCTTCGCCCTCGGTCCCACCAGCTCAGCCTCTGCCCTCATGATTTCCGGTTCCTCCTCGGATGCTTGTCACCACGGCTCCTCCTCGGTCTCCAGGACCATCGGCTGCGCGTGTTACATGTCTGAGTGTTTTGAGTTTCTGTTGTGACCTAGTTTTTGCCTGTCTTGAGTTCATTGTTCCCACCTGGTATGTCGTTAATTATCCCATTATTCCCTGGGTTCTTAAGTCCTGAGTTCTCCCCGTTTCATTTGCCAGTTATTGTCCATGTTACATGTCTGTTTGGATTATTCCTCAGTTGTTTCCTGTTTCCAAGTGGATTTATATTAAAGACTGTTCTTTGGGATTCCCTGCTCTCTGTGAGTCTTAACTACCAGAGATCGTAACAGAATAACTGTCCGAAACTGTTTTTTTTCTCTGGCATTTTTCTTTTTTGTTTTGTTTAATTTGTACTATATGGACCTTACCCCCATAAAACTTCTCTGCCTGGAGCAGGGAGATTGCCTGCTGGGAGCTCACGCCCTGGATTTTATTCAGCTCGCATGCCTTACTCACTATCCAGACTGCTCGCTCTGTGTTTTCTATTACACCAGCCTGAACGAGCGTTCAAAGGCACGCGTTCCAGCGGGCGGTCCTAAGGAGGATTTCGCCGCCTTTGTGGAGTGGGTGCTGGTACACAACAACTCTGCATTCACCATCGGCCCTGCGGAGGATGACTTCGCCATCATCCCCACTCCTCCACTGCCAGAGACCAGCCCGCCACCAGTGAAGGAGGTGTCACACGTGCCCACCGCAGACCAAGGAGGTCAGCTCGCCGCGATGGAAAAACTTGGACCGAGGACAAGATCGGAAGTTACCATCGTCCCAGAGCCTGCTTCTCTGCAAAGGTTGGAACAGGTGCGTGAGCCGGCTACACTGCTGAGCGCTGAGGGAGTGTTAGTGGAGCTCGGAGACATGGAGGATTGCCCCTCCCACACTCCCACCGCTATGAGTGAGTACGAACTGGCCTCTGGTGGATATTATGAGGGACTTAAGGACATTTTTGTAATGGACCTGATTGACTTTTTGGAGAGATGAACCCTAAGCCCCCTGTATCTCCAGTGATGTATGTATCTCCTGCGCTCCCTGTATCTCCAGTATCCCTTGAATTTCCACCCAGCCTGCCTCTCCCACCTCCTCAGTCAGCCAGTTACTCAGACCCAGTTCAGCTGCTGTCCTCCAGCCCCTCAGCAGCCCATATTAGTAATGATGTTCTGTTAAGTGTTTGCAGGCCAGCTGCTCCATCCATCCCTGTGGATCCCCTGTCTCCGCCTCCAGCCTCTGCACCCCGTCGACATTTCGGCTCCACCTTGGCTCCTCCCTCCCTCGGCTCCACCGGATACCATCGGCCATATGGCATCTCCGGGCTCCCTCGTCCCTCCGGCTCCGCCCTGGTCAGTCATTGGCCTGCCTGCACCTGTGGCTTCGGCTGGCTTCTCCTTCTCCCCCGGCTCCACCTTCGCCCTCGGTCCCACCAGCTCAGCCTCTGCCCTCATGATTTCCGGTTCCTCCTCGGATGCTTGTCACCACGGCTCCTCCTCGGTCTCCAGGACCATCGGCTGCGCGTGTTACATGTCTGAGTGTTTTGAGTTTCTGTTGTGACCTAGTTTTTGCCTGTCTTGAGTTCATTGTTCCCACCTGGTATGTCGTTAATTATCCCATTATTCCCTGGGTTCTTAAGTCCTGAGTTCTCCCCGTTTCATTTGCCAGTTATTGTCCATGTTACATGTCTGTTTGGATTATTCCTCAGTTGTTTCCTGTTTCCAAGTGGATTTATATTAAAGACTGTTCTTTGGGATTCCCTGCTCTCTGTGAGTCTTAACTACCAGAGATCGTAACAGAATAACTGTCCGAAACTGTTTTTTTTCTCTGGCATTTTTCTTTTTTGTTTTGTTTAATTTGTACTATATGGACCTTACCCCCATAAAACTTCTCTGCCTGGAGCAGGGAGATTGCCTGCTGGGAGCTCACGCCCTGGATTTTATTCAGCTCGCATGCCTTACTCACTATCCAGACTGCTCGCTCTGTGTTTTCTATTACACCAGCCTGAACGAGCGTTCAAAGGCACGCGTTCCAGCGGGCGGTCCTAAGGAGGATTTCGCCGCCTTTGTGGAGTGGGTGCTGGTACACAACAACTCTGCATTCACCATCGGCCCTGCGGAGGATGACTTCGCCATCATCCCCACTCCTCCACTGCCAGAGACCAGCCCGCCACCAGTGAAGGAGGTGTCACACGTGCCCACCGCAGACCAAGGAGGTCAGCTCGCCGCGATGGAAAAACTTGGACCGAGGACAAGATCGGAAGTTACCATCGTCCCAGAGCCTGCTTCTCTGCAAAGGTTGGAACAGGTGCGTGAGCCGGCTACACTGCTGAGCGCTGAGGGAGTGTTAGTGGAGCTCGGAGACATGGAGGATTGCCCCTCCCACACTCCCACCGCTATGAGTGAGTACGAACTGGCCTCTGGTGGATATTATGAGGGACTTAAGGACATTTTTGTAATGGACCTGATTGACTTTTTGGAGAGATGAACCCTAAGCCCCCTGTATCTCCAGTGATGTATGTATCTCCTGCGCTCCCTGTATCTCCAGTATCCCTTGAATTTCCACCCAGCCTGCCTCTCCCACCTCCTCAGTCAGCCAGTTACTCAGACCCAGTTCAGCTGCTGTCCTCCAGCCCCTCAGCAGCCCATATTAGTAATGATGTTCTGTTAAGTGTTTGCAGGCCAGCTGCTCCATCCATCCCTGTGGATCCCCTGTCTCCGCCTCCAGCCTCTGCACCCCGTCGACATTTCGGCTCCACCTTGGCTCCTCCCTCCCTCGGCTCCACCGGATACCATCGGCCATATGGCATCTCCGGGCTCCCTCGTCCCTCCGGCTCCGCCCTGGTCAGTCATTGGCCTGCCTGCACCTGTGGCTTCGGCTGGCTTCTCCTTCTCCCCCGGCTCCACCTTCACCCTCGGTCCCACCAGCTCAGCCTCTGCCCTCATGATTTCCGGTTCCTCCTCGGATGCTTGTCACCACGGCTCCTCCTCGGTCTCCAGGACCATCGGCTGCGCGTGTTACATGTCTGAGTGTTTTGAGTTTCTGTTGTGACCTAGTTTTTGCCTGTCTTGAGTTCATTGTTCCCACCTGGTATGTCGTTAATTATCCCATTATTCCCTGGGTTCTTAAGTCCTGAGTTCTCCCCGTTTCATTTGCCAGTTATTGTCCATGTTACATGTCTGTTTGGATTATTCCTCAGTTGTTTCCTGTTTCCAAGTGGATTTATATTAAAGACTGTTCTTTGGGATTCCCTGCTCTCCGTGAGTTTTAACTACCAGAGACCGTAAAAACATTCACTGATGCATGAATGTTCATTACATCTGAGACAGTTAAACAAGAGCTGGTGAATAGTTCATGCCCAGAATACACAATAAAATCAAATTCGGTGAGCATGTACAACAAATGTGTGACATAATCCTGCCTATGAACACATACCTGGTGGTCCACCCCACTGTGTGAGCTTGATATGCATCACTCTTTTAACAGAACATCTCAGAGGGGTTAACTTTATCTCTGACAGACATATTGAGCCAATACAATGGAAAGATATATATATATATATATATATGTCTGAAATGGAGAGGAATAGGGGTTACAGAGACCTGCAGACAGAAATGTTATCACCGTGATCATTGTAGTCTTCTTCATGTGTAAATTAGATACAGATGTTATTGTTTGTATAGAAAAGTGGTTTTAAAATTTGTTTATATTATTAAAATAGAGCTCTTTGTGTAAATATGGTTTTCTATATTTACTGTATTATGTTTTAGACTCTGTTTAGATTGAATGATGGATTAAAAAAAGATTATCCTTTGCAAGAAGATTATTTATTTACTTAAAAGCCATGTAATACTTGGAAAACTCTACTGTCATATATTATTTATATTAGGAATGATGTACTGTCTTCCTGAAGAAAAAGTGATCAGGACCCCAACTCAACGTACATCAATACTACGGTCTCATATATTAAGTTTTGTTGTCTTTTTGAACTTTTGTGTTGAAATTTATCATTGTCAGTTCTTGGTTTAACTGTAACATTATAATGGTGTGTATTTGCTTTTCCATGCACCATAGTCTCCCTTCTGTTTTGATTTTGGTCTTTTTGACACCAGCAATATGTACTAAAATTACCAATCCAAAAGATGTATCTAACAGCGATCCAAATCAGCTTACTCACCCTGGACAATCATTCCTTCAAGGACGAACAGATGTTCTTAGGCCTTGTCTATCCCTGATCCAGCACACATTGCACAGCTCATCGTAGAAGAAGCAATAACAATCTATTCTCCCTGGAACTAATAATGCCATAATGCCAACCCCTTAAGCCCTTTTTTACTTTGATTGGCCCTTTCTACTCTCTGGTTTCATCCAGAACCCTTGTCTTCCCCTTTTGCTGGTTCTGTCCAGCATGAAAGCCTTATCATCATGGATCTGGCTTCACCACCTTGATTGTAGCTTTCTAATCTGGCAAAACCACTTCTCTGGATTTGTTAACCCAGCCAAGGTTCTCTGAACCCCTGGCTCCACCTTGGTCCTCCAATCCCTTGGCTCCACCTTGGCTTGTCAATCCCCATCAGGGTCCCTCTTTCACTTGGCTCCACTTAGTATGTCGATCACTTGTCTCCAGTCTATCCAGCTTTGTCTTGGGTCTCCAGTCCTCCAGATCCACATAGGTCTTCCATTACCCTGGCTCCACCTTGGTCCTCAGTCTCACTGGCTCCACCTCAGTCTTCCAAGCCTCCAGCTTGGTCCTCCGATCCTCCAGCTCCGCTTTGGCCTTTACTCTGGTTCTTCTTTCTTCTGGGTCTGCTGTGGTCCACTAGTCCTCTGGCTGCTCCCAATCTAATCTTCCTCTGGATTCTTCTTGGTCTTCACTGCCCTGGAGTGGGTGTCTGTTCCCCTTTCTTGGCCCTGACCCTCCCCTCCCGTCTATCCATTAATGCACTCCATGGGTGATACATAATAATTGGGGAATTAATGATAAAAAAAAGGAATTACAGTACTCTGTATATGTTAATGGAATTTGAAGAAAAATTGACAAACTCTATAATATTATATAATTTCAGTGTGGAAATAAGAAATAATTAAGTTACTGTTTCACTAATGGCTAGAACAATTACTGCTCTGCCATTGCACTAGTGCTGTCTGTTGAATGAGTGATGGAGAGAGAGGGCAGTTCAGATGTGTAATTACCAGATAAGAGGTATTATGATGAGATAATATCAGTCAGAGTGGTGGCTACAAAAGGAATCCCACTTTCGGGTTTAAGAGGACAACACAATGGCAAGACATTCAGTTATCACACACCCCTCCGCCAGAAACACACACACACACACACACGCACTTTCTTTCTTATATTTTACATGTCTCTGCCAGCCTGCTGACTTTTGGCCTGTTTTTTGACTATCTTTCTGTTCTCACCCTTCTTGTGATGGAATTATTGTCATGATCATTTTATTCGGAATAAAATAAATAAAGTTCAATAAATACTTCACAATTTAAACCTTTCTTTCTTTCTTTCTTTGCATGCTTGCTTGCATTACAGTTATTATTAGCTATTGATTAATATGAAGTAAATAATTATTATCATTTTGATGTCATGAAAATAATATCCTAACACATAACATATGTAGTGCGTTCTCATGTATGAATGTGACATATGCTATATAAATATGAATGCACCTGATTTCTATCTTACCTGCAGTCGAGCAGCTCCTTCAGCTGAGTTCTCAGTGGACCGCACACGTCACCTGATGTCCTTTCTGACCATGCTGGGTCCCAGTCCTGACTGGAACGTGGGTCTGTCATCAGAGGACCTCTGCACCAGAGAGTGTGGCTGGGTCCAGAAGGTGGTTCAGGACCTCATTCCATGGGATGCGGGGACAGACAGCGGGGTCACTTATGAGGTGAGCACTCATACAGTGGGGTCCAAACATCCCTTCTACTTACAATTTTTCTTATTTTAGATAGAATTTGTCATCACAAATGACATGATTGGTGGGGCAGCTGAACTTAAAAATAAAGATGAATATCAGAATTGTTATCGTTTAGTATGTCCCAATTTTCCTGGCATGCAAGCTGGCATAAACTTAACAGGTTTGAGCAAAAGAAAAAAAATCAATCTATCTATCTATCTATCTATCTATCTATCTATCTATCTAGATAGATATATAGATACATACATATTTAGATAGATGTTTAGATGTGAAGTACTTGCAGTAAAGTATTTTCCTCCTGAGGTCTTTGGATAATATAGGGTTGTGACTATCACACATTTGCTCAAAGCAAACTCCACTAAATGAGTTCTCTCCGTGTTAATAACAGAACAAAATAAAAACATGAAAAAAATAAGTATGTTTTAATTTAGTCCACTGGAGACCATACAGTCATGACCATAGCTTGATTCTGCCATCTACTGGTGTGTGTCAATGTTTGTTTGTTAATTTAATTCATTAATTTCCTTGTTTGTTTGTTTTTCATTTACATATTGAGAGGTTAATATTTTTACTTGTAGACTGGTTGGGTGGTTACAGGACTATTCTCGGTTAAATATACATTAAGCTCTGTAAACAGCATGTGTAACATTCTCATTTACCTCAGAAAATGTATGCATGTATATATGTATGTATTCATTGTTTTTTTTTTTTCATTCATTCCAACTATTCTCATATGCTGTTGATAAATAATCTCATGATGTAAATAAACCAGGTGCATGCCTTTAACAGTGTCTGGTCCTAAGACAGCCTTGGATTTCTAACTTTTATTTTTCCACATTTCATTGAGGAGAGGGTCTGTGTATATAATTTGCATTGCCCCCATGGTTGTGCGTGTTATAGTCAACCTCTCTCAGCGACCTTGCTGCTGTTGACTGTGGGAGTTAATCTGTCTTTTTCAAAGCCTGAAGGCTTGCTATGGTGATCTCTTTGTTGTGTGAAGTGATTTTAAACTGTTAAAATATGGAATAATCATATAGGAATTCCCCTTTTGTAGTATTCATTATTTGACATCAGTTCAAATATAAAATTGAAAGTGAAAAGTGAAAACCCTGTGGGTATTTAAATATTTGGTAACACTTTACTTGAAGGGGTGTGCATAAGACTGACATGACACCTTCATAATCATGACATGACACATGTCATGAATATGGTACTCTGTATATGTTAATGGAATTTGAAGAAAAATTGACAAACTCTATAATATTATATAATTTCAGTGTGGAAATAAGAAATAATTAAGTTACTGTTTCACTAATGGCTAGAACAATTACTGCTCTGCCATTGCACTAGTGCTGTCTGTTGAATGAGTGATGGAGAGAGAGGGCAGTTCAGATGTGTAATTACCAGATAAGAGGTATTATGATGAGATAATATCAGTCAGAGTGGTGGCTACAAAAGGAATCCCACTTTCGGGTTTAAGAGGACAACACAATGGCAAGACATTCAGTGATCACACACCCCTCCGCCAGAAACACACACACACACACACACACACACACACGCACTTTCTTTCTTATATTTTACATGTCTCTGCCAGCCTGCTGACTTTTGGCCTGTTTTTTGACTATCTTTCTGTTCTCACCCTTCTTGTGATGGAATTATTGTCATGATCATTTTATTCGGAATAAAATAAATAAAGTTCAATAAATACTTCACAATTTAAACCTTTCTTTCTTTCTTTCTTTGCATGCTTGCTTGCATTACAGTTATTATTAGCTATTGATTAATATGAAGTAAATAATTATTATCATTTTGATGTCATGAAAATAATATCCTAACACATAACATATGTAGTGCGTTCTCATGTATGAATGTGACATATGCTATATAAATATGAATGCACCTGATTTCTATCTTACCTGCAGTCGAGCAGCTCCTTCAGCTGAGTTCTCAGTGGACCGCACACGTCACCTGATGTCCTTTCTGACCATGCTGGGTCCCAGTCCTGACTGGAACGTGGGTCTGTCATCAGAGGACCTCTGCACCAGAGAGTGTGGCTGGGTCCAGAAGGTGGTTCAGGACCTCATTCCATGGGATGCGGGGACAGACAGCGGGGTCACTTATGAGGTGAGCACTCATACAGTGGGGTCCAAACATCCCTTCTACTTACAATTTTTCTTATTTTAGATAGAATTTGTCATCACAAATGACATGATTGGTGGGGCAGCTGAACTTAAAAATAAAGATGAATATCAGAATTGTTATCGTTTAGTATGTCCCAATTTTCCTGGCATGCAAGCTGGCATAAACTTAACAGGTTTGAGCAAAAGAAAAAAAATCAATCTATCTATCTATCTATCTATCTAGATAGATATATAGATACATACATATTTAGATAGATGTTTAGATGTGAAGTACTTGCAGTAAAGTATTTTCCTCCTGAGGTCTTTGGATAATATAGGGTTGTGACTATCACACATTTGCTCAAAGCAAACTCCACTAAATGAGTTCTCTCCGTGTTAATAACAGAACAAAATAAAAACATGAAAAAAAGAAGTATGTTTTAATTTAGTCCACTGGAGACCATACAGTCATGACCATAGCTTGATTCTGCCATCTACTGGTGTGTGTCAATGTTTGTTTGTTACTTTAATTCATTAATTTCCTTGTTTGTTTGTTTTTCATTTACATATTGAGAGGTTAATATTTTTACTTGTAGACTGGTTGGGTGGTTACAGGACTATTCTCGGTTAAATATACATTAAGCTCTGTAAACAGCATGTGTAACATTCTCATTTACCTCAGAAAATGTATGCATGTATATATGTATGTATTCATTGTTTTTTTTTTTTCATTCATTCCAACTATTCTCATATGCTGTTGATAAATAATCTAACAAAATAAAAACATGAAAAAAATAAGTATGTTTTAATTTAGTCCACTGGAGACCATACAGTCATGACCATAGCTTGATTCTGCCATCTACTGGTGTGTGTCAATGTTTGTTTGTTAATTTAATTCATTAATTTCCTTGTTTGTTTGTTTTTCATTTACATATTGAGAGGTTAATATTTTTACTTGTAGACTGGTTGGGTGGTTACAGGACTATTCTCGGTTAAATATACATTAAGCTCTGTAAACAGCATGTGTAACATTCTCATTTACCTCAGAAAATGTATGCATGTATATATGTATGTATTCATTGTTTTTTTTTTTCATTCATTCCAACTATTCTCATATGCTGTTGATAAATAATCTCATGATGTAAATAAACCAGGTGCATGCCTTTAACAGTGTCTGGTCCTAAGACAGCCTTGGATTTCTAACTTTTATTTTTCCACATTTCATTGAGGAGAGGGTCTGTGTATATAATTTGCATTGCCCCCATGGTTGTGCGTGTTATAGTCAACCTCTCTCAGCGACCTTGCTGCTGTTGACTGTGGGAGTTAATCTGTCTTTTTCAAAGCCTGAAGGCTTGCTATGGTGATCTCTTTGTTGTGTGAAGTGATTTTAAACTGTTAAAATATGGAATAATCATATAGGAATTCCCCTTTTGTAGTATTCATTATTTGACATCAGTTCAAATATAAAATTGAAAGTGAAAAGTGAAAACCCTGTGGGTATTTAAATATTTGGTAACACTTTACTTGAAGGGGTGTGCATAAGACTGACATGACACCTTCATAATCATGACATGACACATGTCATGAATATGAAGGAGGTTTTATGCATGTTTATGACAACTGTCATTAAGTGTCATTCGCTCAGTTATGTCATTTTTAATGCAAAGAACAGTTTTTTTTTTTAAAAAACAGTTCAGCAAAAATTTAAAATCTTGTGAAAAATGTTCGCAAAATGTTTGCATGCCTCCTTTTACTTACATTTTATGAGAACAACCTGGCCTCATAAAAAACTTACCTCTGGGTATTTTTCTGCAACACCATTTTTACGAACCTTTCTGCATGTTTTGCCGCAGTTTCAAAGAGAAATGTCCACTGAGTGGCGCTAAAACATGGGTTCAATATGTGAACTCTGGCACTCTTTTATTACGTTGATATAGGTACATATTGCTGTGATTTTATTATGTTGCTTCAGGTACGTATTGCGACGGTTCAGAATTCAAATATCTGGGGACTGTCGCTAAAAGTTAATGCTCTATCGCAGAGGTGTCAAAGTCAATTCCTGGAGGGCCGGAGCCCTGCAGACTTGCTATGGTGATCTCTTTGTTGTGTGAAGTGATTTTAAACTGTTAAAATATGGAATAATCATATAGGAATTCCCCTTTTGTAGTATTCATTATTTGACATCAGTTCAAATATAAAATTGAAAGTGAAAAGTGAAAACCCTGTGGGTATTTAAATATTTGGTAACACTTTACTTGAAGGGGTGTGCATAAGACTGACATGACACCTTCATAATCATGACATGACACATGTCATGAATATGAAGGAGGTTTTATGCATGTTTATGACAACTGTCATTAAGTGTCATTCGCTCAGTTATGTCATTTTTAATGCAAAGAACAGTTTTTTTTTTTAAAAAACAGTTCAGCAAAAATTTAAAATCTTGTGAAAAATGTTCGCAAAATGTTTGCATGCCTCCTTTTACTTACATTTTATGAGAACAACCTGGCCTCATAAAAAACTTACCTCTGGGTATTTTTCTGCAACACCATTTTTACGAACCTTTCTGCATGTTTTGCCGCAGTTTCAAAGAGAAATGTCCACTGAGTGGCGCTAAAACATGGGTTCAATATGTGAACTCTGGCACTCTTTTATTACGTTGATATAGGTACATATTGCTGTGATTTTATTATGTTGCTTCAGGTACGTATTGCGACGGTTCAGAATTCAAATATCTGGGGACTGTCGCTAAAAGTTAATGCTCTATCGCAGAGGTGTCAAAGTCAATTCCTGGAGGGCCGGAGCCCTGCAGACTTTTGTTCCAGCCCTGCTCCAACACACATACCATGTAGTTTTCAAATAAGCCTGAACGACTTGATTAGTTGGATCAGGTGTGTTTAATTAGAGTTGAATCTAAACTCTGCAGGGCTCCGGCCCTCCAGGAATTGAGTTTGATACCCCTGCTCTATCGTGTTGGAAATATGCCCTACATCAAACCCAACCCTAATCCTACCCAATAGTGTTAACAAATGCAAAACTGAAATAAAATGCATTTGTTGATTCAACCGTGCCATTTGAACTTCCTTATGCATATTTGAACTGTTTTGTCAAACCGTAGTTACACAGAATTCAAACCGGAGCTCCTCACCTCTCAAGTACGTCTCTGTACTCCGTGAGTTATCGAACAAACCTACCGTCTATGAAAACCCATAGATATGAAGCTGGATATGTGCGATGCTAACATTCAAAAGCATCAGTTTTCAAATCTCCCAGCATATTAAAATTGTTGTGGAGTCATAACATAATATTCTTCAAGTAATTGTGTGAAAATTACACTTTATTAACACTAGAACTGCCACTGGGTAAATTTTACCTGTGGCTTTTTTTAAAACGTACATAAAATATTTTTAATAAAACATTCAAGTCTCCCAGTCACTGACTTTTACTAAAATTGTGTGATTTACAATCCCCTGGTGTTGAAAACTGTTTAGATAAAATCAGATCAAAAAACGGGGCATTTATACCTATAAGCGCCAGCGCGGGTCAAATTTACTCGCTATATAATGCCTGTATGTTTGCGCTGTCATTTTCGTGCCGCTTATGTTTTAACATAGTACATTGCTAGGCAACACCTTTCACTCAAATAAAGACAAAATGAGTAAAAGAAGGCGATTTATGAATGCTGAAGAGATATAAGAAGCACTAAATGCCATGACCGATGGATAGTCTGATGGTAGGGAGATAAGTAAAGTGTCCTGTCGGCTCAGCATCTGACGGCGATCAATATATCATATTTAGACGTTTTATCCTAATGTTACTCATAATTGTTCAAAATTTTGATTAATTATTGAATTTTTGTTTTGCCATTTCTATCGTTTTTTGTTCGCTTCTCTGTTGCTATTTATTCTTTATATTATATTTTTATATCATATCTATTATATCTTTATTGGTGTTCTTCTTGTATAATTCAAATTATAAATGATATAACTAAACAAATTAATAATTAATTAGGTGAAGCTGTGCGCTTGAATTTGTCATCGCATCATCCTATGCAATGTGGTGAATTATTATTGCTCATTATTGTCTATAGGCTATTTTAGTAATTCAAATAACATAGGTTATCTTAATATATTGATTATTGACATTTTATTATAATAGCCTGTTACACCACCTAAATATGTATTTACTTCCTTCTAATTCTCATTGTCAGTGCAGGCTTGTTTAGCTTAATATTGACCATTATGAAAAGTGACTAGTGTAGCCTGCATTAAAAAAAAAATTGAACATAAAACAGCAGGACAACAATATAGTTGATGACTAGACATAATCATTTCATGACTCTAGACACTTCTTTGTGAAGACAGTAGAATAATACAGTGAAATATTGATTAATGACATTTTATTATAATAGCCTGTTACACCACCTAAATATGTATTTACTTCCTTCTAATTCTCGTTGTCAGTGCAGGCTTGTTTAGCTTAATATTGACCGTTATGAAAAGTGACTAGTGTAGCCTGCATTAAAAAAAAATTGAACATAAAACAGCAGGACAACAATATAGTTGATGACTAGACATAATCATTTCATGACTCTAGACACTTCTTTGTGAAGACAATAGAATAATACAGTGAAATAATATGTTCTTTAGCCATTCAGAAACAGCTGTCATGTGCGTGGGTATAATTTATCCGCTGGCGGTTTTAGGTATACAGCAACTCCTGGCGGTTCTAGTGTTAATCGAAACTCTGTAAATTTGTGTGAAAGGTAATAAAAGGTGTCGGAGTTTTACTGCCTCTAGTGTTCATTTATTTTGGAAACTGCAGTGATATGTACTTATTGGTACATATTTTGCATCTCGCGAAAAAGTGTCCCCAGGTGCGTTTTTGCCATGAGAACAGGTAGCGAAAAGAGCAGCTTGAATATGTTGCCAAATTTATTGTGTGTTCTGTGTAAGACAAAAGGGACGCAATGAGAAAGATTAAATAACAGAGTAAATGACTTGAATATTTGACATTTTGGTAAACTGGTTTATTTTTTGTGCCATAGTCTCCCAACAAGCGTACAACACCTCAGGAGAAAATTCGTCCCCTCACAAGTTTAGACCATCCACAGAGCCCTTTCTACGACCCAGAGGGTGGCGCGATCACTCCTGTGGCTAGACTCGCCGTAGAGAGAATTGCTCGCAAGGTCTGTTTCTTTGCTTGTCTTAAAAAAATAAATACATACATTTCAAAAGAAAATATTCTTAGCTGTTGCGGTTTTAGCTTTTATTATTGTGCAAAACAGCTCTGCATTATTCATGTCATAAAAGTCTATAAACTTAGAGCTAAAATAACTTGACAACAACAGATTATGCATATTTATGAACCCAGCATGTCACAACAGTGCCCTGAAAGTATTGAAAGTCATGCATCTTCGATTGGGAGAGAGATTACTGTATACGAATTAGTAGGAACACAGGAAAAAAAAAACAGGTTGACTTTTTGCTGTTTTCAATCAGATGGTAATAGTGAATCAAATCCCATCACTGTGTAGAAGAAAGTGATTAAATGAGGGACATCATTTAAAGTCTGTTTGGAAGTTTGAGTTGTTTTCTGATGTCTTCAGGGTGAGCAGTGCAACATTGTGCCTGATAATGTGGATGACATTGTGGCTGACATTGCCCAGGAGGAAAAAGAAGAAGGTTTGCATCTCTTTATCTTTTCATCAAAGTTGACATTGAGAGAGCGAGAGAGAGACAGAGAGAGAGAGAGAGAGAGAGAGAGAGAGAGAGAGAGAGAGAATGAGAGAATGAGAGAATGAGAGAACGAGACTTTTAACTATTCAATATCCTAAACTCCTCCAGTCCAACCAAGACTAAACTGTATTCTTGAGAGGTTACACTAGGCTCGGGAGACTTATATAAAACATGAGAACATAAATTACTGTATATTTCCATTAAGTAACAGCTTTGTCTCAGGTGTTCATTCTAAAATTTTAAACTCCATTATTTCATCCAAACAATAACTGATTAATTCTGAGACTGTGCGTTTAATTTTAATGTGCATTTAATTTAATCATACTAGTTTCCAATTGTTGGTCTTTAGGTTCTTCCAGAAGATGTTAGATGAAGAATCCCATTGTATGATAGAACAGTTGAGGTGAACTCAGTAGAAACTTTCATAGCTCATGAGACTTCATGAAATTCTCAGTTATCTTTTATTGAAATCTCAGCTTGGTCTCTGATGTTTCTTACAAAATCCCTTCAGAGAAATAAGCAATAAGCACAATAATACTTGTTTCCTTTCAGATTAGAGAGAGATTACATTAGGGATTTACATTTTATGTTGAATTGGAATCATGATATTCTATTTGAGCACCCTCCAGGTGTGATGACTGTCTGTAGCCAGAATAGAATCATGCAGATTCATTGGCTGATGGTGCTAATGGCACCCTCCGAGGCAACATTACACCAGTGCCTCAAAGGATGCACTTTTGCCATCACTCCTCAGATTTCTACTAAATAAGTTGTAACAGTACAGAAGTTGTAACAGTAACAAAATGGTATGGCAGAATTATGCAGTATTTCATTCCCTACACAGGGAACCAGGGTTACATATGTAACCGAAACGTTCCCTTTAATAGGTTCACTCGACTGACTGCCTGCCATGATATTCACATGCCATGAAGAGAGTGTGACCATAGCATAGTACTGATGCAGTGCTGAATGTCCTATGAAATGCAACATTTGTTTGTGGCTATCAACAACATCATATGTTGAAACAGAGCTCATTATGTTTCTAAATTATGTCAGATGATACGGTCTTGGGAGAATTTAATGTAAAATAGTTTATATTGAAGTACATCTCTTTAAGCACATTTTTTTGGCATTTCTTTTAAAGCAAAAGTTTAAGCAAAAGTTGCTCTTTGCTCTCCTTTTAATCTCACCAATGTTTATTTGAAACAACAACAACAACAAAAATGATCCCAGTAGTGTTTTTTTCTTATGGGCACTCCCTTTATGAGATTCCATAATGCTTACAGACAAAAATGTTAATATTATGAGACTTTTCATCCTCCTACTTCTTTTTCTTTTCTGTTTTGTCAGATGACACTCCAGAGACATGTATCTACTCCAACTGGTCTCCGTGGTCTGCATGCAGCTCCTCGACATGTGAGAAGGGGAAGAGGATGAGGCAGAGGATGCTGAAGGCACAGCTGGATCTCAGTGTGCCCTGTCCACATACTCAAGACTTTGAGCCCTGCATGGGGCCTGGCTGCAGTGATGAGGGTCAGAATCAAACACACACAAAATCAGGATTTTAGTCCCCATATGGAAAGGAACATGGAAGTTATTGTCAATCATATTGATATTATCTCTGTTCAAAAATGTACTGAAACAGCTGCCTACTAAGAGGCCATCCACACAGGAAGTATTCTTGTATTCAAAAACAGCAGGATAGGATGCATAGACAAAAATGCAGGGGTCTATAGGTCTTCAAAATAATATGACTTGATTTTGGTTTAAAAAACAAAATTTGTTCTTGCATTCTGGAAGCGCTATTCTTTTATGTTGGTCTATACACATCAAATAGATGTCTTTACTACATCCTGTCTTGTTTGTTTGTTTGTTTATTTATTTAAAGCATCTCTCACATGGGGTCTTATGGTCAGAAAATGTAATGGGATTCATAAAAATGCTTATAACTTTTTAAAATATGAAGACTATTTTCATGAGACTTTCATGGCTCTGATTAGAGTCCATGGCCAATGTCAAGAACAACGATATCAATAACTCCACAATTGTTAAAAAATAAATAAATAAAAATAAAATAAAATATGTATTATAAGCAGTTTTTAATTTTTAATTTTATTATTATTTTATTTTATTTAAAAAAAAATTTTTGACATCAGCTCTGATTTTTTAGGTACCTACGGGTGATGTAACTGAGTTACCTAATGATATCCAAATTTGTTTGTAGAATATAGTCTGTAAAGTCACAATATGAAAATATCAGTCATGGGGGCGAGAGGTATTATAACATAATTTAAAAAAAATTAAAGATATTTTATTGTAGTGAAGGAAAAATCAGCATTTCTCTCATTTTGAAACACTTGATTTCACATATTTATTTATTTCAAATTTGTTGCAGTAATACATTCTGGGATTGCCAAGACTATAAAGGACATACGTTTGGTTCTTATGAGGTAGATTTTATTTTTTTAATTCAATTTAATTTAATTTTGTTTTGTTTTGTTTTGTATACATTGATCAGCTTATGCTGTTTATAACTGGTCTAAGAATTTAACCTAACAGCCTGCAAGGACAAAATTGATCAGTCAAACCGTGATAGAATATAATTTTATGGTGAGCTATCCTCTACTCACCATTTCTGTGCACACCAAGAGATTTATTGATCAGACATATTGGGGCACCCTGCCTTGAACATTTTAAAAATGCCCTAAAGCAATGCTAACTAGACATTTTTATCAGGTGACAGAATCTTTGCATCATTCTTGGGTAAGGTTGCATCTTACTTCTATATGGGCAGTACTATTGATTTTGACTTGGAGACATTAAAAGGTCAAAGCAGCTTCTGCATAGTTTTTGTTGCCAGACTGGAAATCGCTAAAAATGCATAGCTCATTTCTATTATTGCTAATAGAACAAAATGTTGATGCATAGGATGAGCAAGCATACATATGTATAAGGTAATGAGTAACATAGTGAATAAAATAAGGAGCTGTTTTATAATGCTTTAGCACCTTTAAGAATTAAAATAAATAAAGTTAGATATGAATTCAGATGTCCCTTTAATACTTTGAATGAAACAGGCAGTTTAACGCAAATCACACATTAGTGTGTGGGTTTTTCTTTAGTGTTTAATGAAGTGTTAATATCCATTATCAATTGATTATCATGTAATGGAGATGATATAGAGATGGCCTCCAGGATGTCATATTTACTCACAGTTTTATTAATGATTCAATAAGCCACATTTTATCAAGCAGGACAAATGCTAGTAATTTGAGAGAAGAGGGAAGTCCAGGCTTTGCACCATAACATTTTCATCTTGCCCATCTGACTATAACTGATTAAGTAATATTAGCAATTCATGGTGGCATTGTATATTATTGCCTGCAGAACAGGTTAATGTTCTTAATTAAGCTTTAGAGTAGAGTAGGCATTTTTCATGAATGCATAGTAGGACATTTAATAAATTGGTTAAAGGAAAAAAATAGAAAGTTCCCATGTACTGTTGGTAAATTTTCAAGGTGGTATCTGTATTTTAAAACAGTGATTGGCCCTTAGTAAACTAGCTACCATGTTCAGTGATATGATGATGTGATTGTTCTAGTGGGGCTCTTGACTAAAACATTCTACCAGCTGTGCCAGGCTCCATAATTACCTAAATCAGCTTGGACCAGCTAGAAACCACCTACCGTGTTCAAAAAAAATGTTTTGCCCACTATTATGATGTGATTGTTCTAGTAGTGCCCCTTGACCAAGATGTCTTTGCCAGGCCCTGGAAACCAGCTTCCATGTTCCAAAATAGTGATTCCAAACCCTGTTCCTGGAGCCCCCTCAGTAACATGGTTGGGAACCACTGTTCCAAAACATCTATCAACTTTTTATCTGTATTTTCTAGCAGGGCTGGTGGTTGAATGTTAAAAGGTTTTTGAACAAGGACATGAATAACAAAGTGAACTTTGACTTTTACAGATGCTTCCACGTGCATGATGTCAGAATGGATCACATGGTCACCATGCAGTATGTCATGTGGCGCAGGTGTGCGTTCTAGGGAGCGCTATGTAAAACAGTTTCCTGATGATGGCTTTGCTTGCACTCATCCCACTGAAGAGACAGAGCCATGCACTGTCAATGAGGACTGCTGTGAGTATTATTTACCTGTGGACTCATAACAAGCCAAATGCATTGAAATATAACAGATGTTTACAGTCGTAATTTTATTGTTTCATCACGATTTAATCACGTTTTTGACAATTGCCAATTGTGCAGGAAGTAAATGTTGATATAATTTCCGTGTACATAAAGTTCCTGTACATAATATACTGTACTGGGTTTCCTGCTAACATCCTCATTCATCTAAATGTTTTATGGCTGTTTTTATGTATTGTTTATGTTGCTTGAATTGAATAAAATAAAAACTAGCCACTCAAATTCTTACTTTATATTTTAATAAAAGACTAAAAGTTGTTTTTTGACACAGATGATCTTCAAACAGAATTCTGTGTTCCAATCATATGTACTGTATATGTTTCTGTGTAGCTCCAAGCAGTTGCTTGGTTACTGAATGGGGTGAATGGGATGTATGCAGCGCCACCTGTGGGCTTGGCATGAAAAGACGGGAGCGGATGGTGAAAATGCCCCCGTCTGATGGCTCCATTTGTGGGGCAGAGGTGGTGGAAGTGGAGAAGTGTATGATGCCAGAATGCCGTGAGTACAAACACTCACATGCATGCCCATATTAATATATGCACAGCCATGTATGCTAAATTTACCATATTAGCACACATGCACATTAACAGATTCCCACACAGTACATGTCTGTGAATGTTTGGGTCACATTAACATCTCCACAATTACATATTCACATATTCATATATATATATATATATATATATATATATATATATATATATATATATATATATATATATGTGTGCTTATCTGTGTGAC